GTGTACATACATATACATTTGATGTTTTGGGCATTGTGTTTTTAGCGACTTAGCTCTAATTTTTTTCACAGGCGTATGAATATTTGTAAGTATCTACATATGTACATATGTATGTATTATGCTTCTATAGCTTGCATGCGTATGCCATAGAATTGGTACGAATGTAGATATTATGTAGAGATAATGGGAATACGCATATGTGAAGGTCATTAAGTTTTTTTTTAATAAATGAAAGGAATGACGTGCTTATATGAGCACATTTCAGTTCATTTGGCACATCTTCTTTTTGTAATATTTAAAATAAATATAACTTTTTTGAAATAATTTAAAAATAAAAAAGAAAGTCAAATTATTTTTTATGCTTCTTTATTTTGTATATTTTTCTTCAAAGCGTTTCTCTTTGTTCATTCTCGCCAGAGAACGTGCTCAATTCTAAATAGCAGCGGGAATGGTGAAATTCCGTACCACAATCTTTTAAGTTCTGTTAGCCGTCCAATCGAACATCACACAGAATTCAATTTCATTTGTCCCATATTTTGGAATTTTTTTGATACATTTCAAAATTTAATTTAATTTTTAAATTCTTTCCATTGTTGCAACTACACTTATTTTGAAATTCTTCGGAAAGTTTAAGGTTATGATTTATTTCTATACTCTCGCAACATGTTGCTACATAGTATAATATGTTTGTTCATTGTATAACCTAAAACTAATTGAGTTAGATATATGGTATTATATATGATCAGGATGAAGCGACGAGTTCAAATCCGGATGACTCTCTGTCCGTCCATGTGTGCAAGCTGTAAATTGAGTAAAAATTGATATCTCAAAAAAATTTGCTACATATGTTTCTCGGCATCGGACGACCGCCAAAACGCCATTAATAAACTCTTACAGAGGATACATCATGTAAATTGAGTTAAAAGCCCTAGAAATCAATGGTTTAATCGTACGTTAATGACCAAAGAGTCCGACGAGAGATTTCAGTTAAAGTTTCTATGAGTTGTTGAAGACCAAGTTGACACAACTGCCTAAAACTCTAATTCTGTCAATGTGTAAATATCTTATAGCGGTTTTTTTTCTCACACAAATGGAGGTGCTACGGTGCTTCGATGCAACTGATGTTAACGTTTTTTCTTGTGTTATTATAAATTTTTAGAACACAGGTAAAAAAACCCTATACATGGTAAAGGGATAAAATGTATTCGACGACAAATTTTTTGATATAGGAAATAAAATCGTTTGTAACAACTTTTTCTCTTACAGCTGTGCGATCATTAACTGTAGGGTACGGAAAATGCTTGTCTACTTTTTTTATTTGTTTCGCGGTCACTTGCACGCCTGCTCGTTAGACAATAATTACTCTGGGAAATATTATTTCAACCGGTAGTGAAGTTTTTAGATATACTGATCTTTACTAATAACCAATATTTATTATTATAGATAACAACGTTTAATTCTCTCTATAATAGCATTAAAAATAAGAACTATTATTTCTTTGTATATAGGTATTGCATTTGCATGTATTCGACTATGATCGGTTTTCGCGTGACGACTCCATTGGTGAAGTGTTCCTACCACTATGTCAGGTAACCGTATTTATATATATATTAATATAAAAGTAAGTATAATAAACCCATATATGTATATGTTTTGGAGTGGCCGTTATTTCCCAAGGGGATTGTTTTTTGTAGACGCCTCCTGAAGTTGCAGTGTTTGCTCTAAGAAGAAGAAAAAAAAAACTAGTGAAATAAGGAGACACTAATGTATATACACATATAAATTTAATATGCAGTGTTAAAGAAACTTGATTACGAACGTATAGGAGTTTCCGTATACGCAAATAAAATATGTAAATTTTTATCATTTGTAATACACTAGTAGTAGCCGCGGCTTCCCTCACATTTAATCCCTTCAGAAAACATAAAGGACAATTAAATTGTAATAATAATTAGTACTTGAAAATTACTATATACTATATTGAATTTTCAAAAGTTGAATGCTTTATTGAAATAATTTTCTACAACAAAAGTTGAAATATATTTCAATAGAGTATTCTTCTAGAATATTTCTGTATACTACATTGTATGTTTTTCCGTCCGTGAAGGCTGCATATAGTTAGTTGAGCGTGAGTTACCAATATTTTAATAGTTATTTATATTGGTGTAGATGTTTTACCACTTCAAACGTTCACGTTCGCTTTGTTACAATGTTCACACTCGAACACTATACATATATA